CACGTCCCTTCCGTCCATGCCAAATCTACGCCCTTGCATACCGGGAAGCTCGTCACACAAGGCTGTAACTTTCACTTTTGATTTGGAGCTGTTTGTGGCACAACAGGGGCACTTTGTTTTTTTCTGACTTCGACAGAAAAGAGGCAGTGCAGCCATAGCTGGCTGATTTTTGGATCGTAGCTACTAAGTGAAGTTTTCATATCTGTTTGTTTTCTGTCAATCAGATCATGGCTGAGGTCTTCGGCAGTCGATCGCTAAATGATAAGGTGAGTAATAATCTGTTCGTCTGTTTGTTTGTTTGCTTGTTTGTTTGTTTTAGCCCGTCTAAAAAGAAACAAGTGCTCCACAGTTAACGATGTCTTTCTTTCTTTCTTGGCAGAAGGAAGGAGGCCTGGATAAAGACGGTGAACTAAAGGAGGCCAAGCGAGAGTTGGAGGAATGGAAGGTAGGCTACACTTTCCATTTTCAGCTGTGAAGTCGCGAAGCGTTTTAGTTCAATAGTAAAATAAGTTCACGACCGTCAGAATAAATTTATGAGAAAACGCTGAGAGCTGACAACTGCTCAGCCGGAAGTGTCTTCATCCTCCGTTTATAGAAGAAGGTGGTTTTTTTTTATTGAGTACCGTGAGTGATCTGAGCGATTTAAATAGTAATTACAGTTCTCAGATCAGTGAATGCAAGTCCGGAACTACTGAAAAGCCTGAGAGAATCTATCTAAATGCCCATAATATAATAAATGTCATTATTTCCATTGATATACATTTATTAGCATTGAGACATCATTGGATACATTTTATTTACGCATTTGAGCTTAAAGTTAAATGGTTACTTATATTTGGTTGCACAGAATATGCAGTTTGCAGTAAACAGGGAGAAACCGTAAAGCAGCAGTGAAGGTCAGGCGGAATGGGCTCAGGCAACATTCCATAGAGGGTGTAGCTGTAGGTCTATATTTGCTCAACTAAAAACTATTTTGATGGCTTTTGAACTTTTGATGGCTCACACTTTAGCAAACGAGGCGCAGGTGAAGTGAGCACAACCAAAAATGAATAAACACTGTTTTAGTCTTTTGTTTGGGGAAAAGATTGGTCATAGTTTGTAAAGGGCAGAACCATTATCTTGTGAAACCTACACAATTGCAGTGATCAGTACAGATCTTGATTACTGATTGCTCAGGAACCTGTTTATATAGAAAATAAATAAAGGTACATAAGGTTAATGTCAACTAAAATACAGGCATACAACACCAGGGGGATGCAGCACGAATACTGAGTTTCGTCAGTGAGTCAAGTGCACAACATTGTTTAGGATTTCTCTTTTAAATTGATATCAT